CCCCATGAAATACCTGGTAAGCGCACTCCCGGAACCAGGAGAACGGCCATGGAAGACCGCCAAGAAGACCACGGTTGATGGCTGGGACCGGGAGGACGAGGTGGAAGAGCGGGGCGAGCCGAAAACTCGCCACCAACTCGAGAGGATGCACGCGGTGTTCCGCAACACCCTCCTTATGTGCGTCCTCTCGTTTCCGCAGTTCGGCCAGTTCGACATCACCCGGGAGGACCTGGAGAGCTGGTACGAGTGGTTCTATGGGGAGGACATCGGGGGCCGTTTTCCCCCGCCAGAGGACCACGTCCTGGCAGTTGCCGAACGCAACGCATGGCGGAAGATTCACGAGCAGATGCACGAGGGCAGCACCCTCAAGGCGGCCATGCTGTCGGTCAGGCAGGACACATTGTTTTGGACACGTGAGGTCTATGAGAAGATCAGGACCTTTTCCAGGGGCCGCCCACAAACCAGGACATCCATGGACTACGCACCACCCCAGAAGGGCAAGAACAAGTCCAGGGCAAGGGGAAGTCTAGGGGCAAGCCTGGGAGCAAAGGGAAAGGTAAGCCCCCCCAGCCGAACAATCAGGCGTCCAGGGGCGGTAACAAGCAGGCGGCCACCGATCCGAAAGGGAACCAGTTCTGTAACAACTGGATGCGCGGGCGCTGCCCGGGCAACTGCGGACGCACCCACAAGTGCAACCTCATCCTGGCAACGGGCCGCATCTGCCTGGGAGACCACCTCCCGCAGGACTGCCCGGGTTGACTAGGGGCGCTGACCCCGACCCCCCGGGGGGCGAGGGGCCCGGGGGGGCAAACGCCCCAAGCAGGCACATGAGCCCCCTCCTGCAGGTGCCCAGGGCCCTGACACAGGGGGGGGACAGGCCAGGTGGCGGCCATCCTCGGCGGAACAAGGATGGGGACGGCAGAACCAGCGTGCACAACACCCTCGCTGGGGTCAGAACAACCACACAGCTGGCACAACGGCGGCGCCTCAGCCCCGAGCCACGGGTGCCGAGGGCCCTGAAACGGCAGGGACGGGACGGTTCCCTGCAGGTGCCAAGGGCCCTGACACGGGGGGCCGCGCCCAGCAGGCCCGATTGCCGGATAACTGGCAGCACACCGCAACGCCAAGGAACACGCCCAGGAGGCAGCCGATCCCACTTCCGGCGCCCAACATCATCAAGCAGGACCCGGTGGTTTTTTATAAGAGCTCGGTTGGGCTGAATGAAGGGGGCCAGCGCCTTTCAGCTACCCCCCTGACAAGTCCCACGGAGCCGTCACCGGGATGGGACATCTTCCCGTGGATGGAGAACATCCCGGAGCGTTTGGTACAGCGGCTGAGATGGACACAGGGCACATCGCCCAAAGTTCCATCCAGTGGGCCCATTATTGTCCTGCTCTATGCAGGCAAGGAAGACCCAACTTCCTTGGACAGCTGTCTTCATGCCAACTACCCACACCTTTCCAGCATGGTGGTGGCGGTAGACATCCTACGATCGGGACCAAAAGGGAACCACGACATGCTCCAACCCGAGCTGTATGGAGCTCTCTGCACGGCAGCAAAGCAGGGCCGAGTGGTCTTCATTGGAGGAGGACCCAACTGCAGGACATGGTCCATCCTGCGCCACATACCAAAACCGGGGGCCCCCACCCCGGTGCGAGGGCGCACTCGAGAGACACTTTGGGGCCTCCCACACCTGGACCAGGCCGCCCAGACTCAGCTTGATGATGACAGTATCCTCATTTTGAGGCAGATGTACATCACCAGCCTGGCAAGGGCCTCAAGAGCGGCGGTTTCTCTGCCAGGGCCAAAGTCCTTCTTGGAGCACCCGGAGGACCCAGTGGTGAGCAGCTCGCTGCCCAAAGCCAAGGAATGCTCATCCTTCTGGATCACGGAGGAGGGGCAGCTTTGGATGGAGGAAAACTCCTTGACAGCAATCTCCTTCGACCAGTGCCGCCTGGGCCAGCTGGTCAAGAAGGCCACTACGCTAGCCACGGATCTCCCAATTCAGGATTGGGATCAAATGCGGTGCACGCATCAGTCACATGTGGGCACCAACGAGTCCTCGACTCTTAGCAGATACCCTTGGGATATGATGGCAGGCCTGGCCAAAGCCATCGCTGTGTCACTCGCAGCGCCGGGGCACATCCGGATCCCCTCACAATTCCCGGGAAACCCTAAGGAACCACCTAAGGGGCGGGGGTCGGACCCCCCGGAGGGCCCTTCCCCCCGGGGAAAACGGGGACCCAATCAGGGAGGCGGTCCCTCCTCATCACACCAGGGCCCAAAGCCCGGAGGCAAGAATGCCCCGAAGCCCCGCCAGCACGGGCACATCCACCTTGAGGCAGACACCGTAAGCCCTCGTGGAACAATGAACCCAGACTTCCCATCTCCCATGCCCCCGATGGCCGGAGATGCGGAACAACTGGGGAAGGAAGAACATGGGGACCAGGTCCTGGACCGCCCCGAATGCCTGCCCGCTTTCAGGGTCCCACGCCTCATTGACCGAGTTGCGATTGTCCAATTGGGTTTCCGCTCACGCCCCCTGAGGGATGGGGGGGGGAAACCTTCCCGGGGAGGCTCAACCCCCCCTTTCGGAGAATTTCCCCTTTGGCTACTTTGGGCGCCCTGATCATGACCCTTACCCGGCCCTGGATTGACAAGGTCCGGGTGTCCCTGGCATCAGGTGCCACCACACACCCCTTCCAGGAAGCCGACCTCGATGGGCTGCGGGCTATCCTGGGACCTAGGCACCTCCATGAACGATGCCCAGGTCAACCCTTCCTCCTGGACCTAGTTTCGCACTTGGCATCCCTTTCAGGTGACCCTGATTGGGAGTTCCCCCTGACACTGAAAGAGGGGGTCCCCTTGGGAGTCTCGGACCCTACCTTGACCTCCCCCGGAGTTTGGCCGACTAAGGAGGCCCCCCCGCCGGTGGCCCACGATAACTACCCAACGGCAGGACGATCTACGATGGCTCGAAAGGGGGAGCAAACGCACACATCCAGGCTCATACGGGGGAGAAGACCACTGCACCGATGGTTGGAGACTGCCTCCACGCCATCCACTGGCTCAGGACAGCGACGGACCATCCCCATCTACTTCGAGCCACGCTCTCGAGCACTGAGGAGAGACCTCGGGATGTTCACCAGCCGGTGCAGGGGCAGTCCCCAGGTGCCGAGGGCCCTGAGAGGGACCCCCACAGCACCAGGGCCGAGGGGCCTGATCGGGGCAGGGGGATGATGGATACCTCCAGCGGCCTGGACGTCTCTCTGGGGTCGACACCCTCAGGGAAGGGACCACTCCGGGCCCTGATAGGAGGGCCCCCTTCCCCCCAACCCCCCCGGGCACGGAACGCCCTGGGGGGATCAGGGGGGAACCCCTGATGTGGCAGCCGCCGACACAGGGGGAAACCTTCATCATCCTCAAGGCGGATGTCACCAAGGCCCACACACAGGCGTATAAAAGTGCTCCCGAAAGACTGGAAATACCAGGTGGCCTGCATCCAAAACCGGTGGTGGGTCAACAGAGTGGGCACGTACGGCATGGCCTCGGCACAACTGTACTGGGGAAGAAAGGCATCCTTGGTGCTCAGACTCTTGTACTACATCTTCCCTCAGGTGGACTGGCACTTAGTCTTTGTGGACGACTACTGCTGGGTCCTCAGATGCAGCCGGGCGGACTGGGACGCCACAGCCATCCTGGCTACACTGCTGGCGCTGGGAGTCCCGCTTTCCTGGAAAAAGACGGCGCTCTCCCCGATCAATACCTGGTTGGGCTTTGTGGTGGACCCAATCACGCCCTGTGTACTGCTGGCTCCAGTCAAACACGTCATAATCCTGGCCACTCTTAAACGGCTGGCCCAGGGGGACATCTTCACCAGCAAGGAGGTGGAACAAGCCCTAGGCCGTATTCAATGGGCTACTTCGGCGTGCCCATTGACGAAACCTTTCCTCCAGCCCTTTTGGAGCTGGAAGAAGGCCTGCACCACTTCGGGCAGGCCACCGAAGCTGGTTCGTGCTCTGGCCATCCTTTTGGGGAGACTCTTCAACCAGAGGTTCCCACTGGCATCTCCGTTTGCTCCCACACTCCCATGGACGGGGGCATCTGATGCGGGAGCTGGCAGACAGGCAGACCATGCATGGGTTGGTGGTTGGTGCTCGGACGTGCCCAACCCCGACAAGTCCCGTGTGAAGTGGTTCCAGCACAGAATCACACCGGAGAGCGAGCCGTGGGCCTTCACTACTGGGGACCCGCAGCGGGCGATAGCGGCCTTGGAGCTCTTCGGCCTCCTCCTTTTGGTGAGGGCCGTTCTGCTTTGTGCAGCCGGCTCGGCTTCTCACACTAGGATCCTGGTTGCTAGTGATAACCAGGGAAATGTTTTCTCCCTTCTTAACGATTCCACTCGCAGGATGCCCAATGCGGCCATCCTCATGGAAATTGTGCTAACGCTGCATGACCAGCAGGTCATGTTGGGGCCGTCGCATGTGAAGCGCGACTTTAACACGTGGGCGGATGAACTTACTCATCCGGACCCGCAATTTCCGACTGAGAACCGGGTCTTCCCCTCAGTCGAAAGCGAATTGATCACACTGATCTTCGCTACTTTCCTTCCTCACCCATGATGCCGGGAGGGCATCCGGTGAGGTGGGAGGATTCCTCCCTCGCTGTGGGAGTGGCATCAATCCTACTCCCATCAGCTGCTGAGGGGAGCTGCCCAGTGGAGCTGGGCAATCCTCCCATTTTGGCACTAACCCTTATGCGGCAAAAAGGAGGCACCGTTTTGCGAATAAGGCCTCAGTAGCACCAGAGTGGTGCTTTGAAGAGTCAATAGGAACTCCCCGAAGCAACATTGTTCGGGATCCCAAGCCCAAAAAATGACACCCCCCAAATTGTGATGGGTGAATCACCTCCAAAGTTCTTGGACATGAATCCCCACCAAACCTGATGTCCCCCAGATGGAGTTTCTCTCAAAACAATCGGGGCGCCGGCCTTGAAGCGAG